CTGTCCCTCAGCTCTTCAGCTCAAGGTTAGCCCTCTACCACTTGAGCCACAGCGCCACTTCCGGCTTTTTCTGCTTATGTGGTGCTGAAGAATCGAACGCAGGGCCTCATGCATGCAAGGCAAGCACTCTACCACTGAGCCACCTTCCCAGCCTGATATAAATATTTTCTAAGATCACGCATAATTAAGGCATACACTGTGTTCCATATATCTTTTATGTAACACTAGAATACAATACAGTAGTGACACATGCTTGTTTAGATGAGCAGAAATGTATACATAAAGGAGTACTGTTACTATCTGACCAGCCTGGCTTTGTAATGTGGAACAATACAGGAGTTAAGGAGGAGATCCTCAAATTAAATAGGGAAGGCTTTCTTTTAAGGTAAGAAAAGAAGTCCTTTCCATTCAGAAACCTGAAACAATGCTTTTTGTGTAGGGATACAGCAAATGACTGGTTAAAAAAAATACTGTAAAGATTAACAAAGGATAAAAATTCTTTTTAAAAAGATATTTAGGAAAAAGATTGACCTTAGAAAAGTTCAGTTGGACAATGAGACAAGAATGAAAAAAATTTTGTGACTGTTTATATAACTGTATATGTAAATGTTTACATGGAGAATTAAACTTCAAGTTAATTTTAGACTCTAAAAACTAAGTCAATCACTCAGGGATTTTACTGCATCTTAAACTGAAGGAAAAATAATGAGAATGATAATGAGATATACAAAGGGTCTATGGAGGGTCTTTTGCACAGAGGGCAGTCAAACATGAAACAAAACCAACTAAGCGCCACAATTCTAAAGTCCCCAGATAGGTCTAAAAGCCATAACTACTGGTGACTTATTAGTGTAACTAACAGAAATGTATTTCTTACCTTTGTCTTCTCCCTGCTCTCCAATGACCCATATATCCTTGCCTGAAGACTGTGCCTTTAAAACATTTGTAATAATGTATTGTAATCTCTGTGAATCCAGATTGCATCCAGTTCCAATCACTTGATTTGCAGGAAATGCACTCAGTTTCCATGTCACATATGTCATGATTTCCACTAAATATTACAGACAAGGTGAAAACATAAAGGTTTACAAAATTGTACTTCCAATCTAGCTCATAATTGCTATTATAGTAAGTATACTAGAGCTTCTTTACATTCTTCTTATAACCTAAATGCATTGAGGTGTTTACACACACACACACATACACTCACATATACCCCCAGCCTGGCCTCAAATCATAATCCTCATAAATGCTGTAAAATGTTAATGCATCCTGGCATTCTATAATATTTAGAATAATGCTTCAAGATTTAACAAAAGGTTCTCATATAAATCACTGCATTTTTTCTATTGGGTGTTTAACCATTTTCTCACCAAGGGAGATCTTGCTAACAATTGCAACATAATACCACACTTCATAAAAACTTGTAAGTTGCAATATGGTTAATGATGGTCATAGAGATTTTACCAAATATCCATCCTTTCTTTTTCTTTTAGTGTTGGTCCTGGGTCTTGAACTCAAGACCTGGGCATTGTGCCTGAGCTTTTATGCTCAAGACTAGTGCTTTATCACTGGAGCCATAGCTCTACTTCCAGTTTTTTGGAGATTAAGTGGAAATAAGAGTCTCATGGATTTTCCTGCCTGGGCTAGATTCAAACTGAGATCCTCAAATCTCAGCTTCCTGAGTAGCTAGGATTACAGTGAGCCACCAGCACTTGGCCTATCCATCCTTTTATAATCTCAAGTTTTATGCTTTTTTTTTGTTTTGTTTTAGGTAATAGCAATTCTACTACTGATAGCAGACTAAACACTCCTATTAACTATATATGGATAGTGGACTAAACCATGATATTAATTTAAAATACAACCTTTTAGCCAAAGACATAAAGTGGAATAAATAAAGCCTCTTCAAGTACTGGTGCTAGAAAAACTGGGCAGCCACATGCAGAAAACTAAAAGTGGATACCAGCCTATCACCATGCACTAACATCAATTAAAAAATGAATTAAAGAGCTCAACATCAAACCTGAAACTCTGAAACTACTGCAGGACAGAGTAGAAGAGACACTAGAACTTATTGGCACAGGCAGGAACTTCCTAAACAGAGGCCCAGGGTCACAACAAATTGGAGGGAGACTCAACAAATGGGACTACCTTAAAATAAAAGTTTCTGCACAGCTAAAGACATAGCTATAGAAAGACAGCCAATCAACAGGGAAAAGTTATTTACCAGCAATATATCAGACAAAGGCCAAATACCCATTATATACAGGGAACTCAAGACACTAATCCCTCCCAAATCTAACAAACAAATCATTAAATGGGCAAGGGAGAGACTAAAGAGCGACTTCTCAGAAGAGGAGATAAAAATGGCAAAGACACACATGAGGAAATGTTCATCATCCCTGGCTGTAAAGGAAATGCAAATAAAAACAACCCTGAGATACTACCTTACCCTAATGAAAATGGTCTATATCCTAAATTCAAACAATGACAAATGCTGGCAAGGACGTGAAAAAAGAGGAACCCTACAGTACTGCTGATGGGAATGTAAACTAATACAACCACTCTGGAAAGGAGTCTGGAGGTTCCTCAGGAAACTAAACATAGACCTTCCATATGTCCCAGCCCTACCACTCCTAGGCATCTACCCTGAGCAACAAGAACCAAGATAAAAGGACACATGCACCTCCATGTTCATGGCTGCACTGTTCACAATAGCCAAGACATGGAAACAACCTACCTAGATGTCCCACTACAGATGAATGGATCCATAAATTGTGGTACCTATATATAATGGAATATTATGCAGCCATTTGCAGGGAAATGGATGAACTAGAATAAATCATGTTGAGCAAAATAAGCCAAGATCAGAGAGACAAACAGCACATGGTCTCCCTGATATACAATGTTAAATTCAAAATGCAAAGAGATATGAAGTAAACAGGATTCAAGAAACAAAGGACTTCTTCTTAATTTGTCATACTGTTTTTAGATGACTCTATGTTCTTGACCCCACATATGGTATATACATATGCACATCTGAGGGAAGCTAGGAGGAGGGCACAGAATCAGAGGGAAACAGGTGATAAAATACAGCAGAGGGGTCCATCAGCTGCACTGGACATTGATGAAAGTGAACCAAGCAACTCAAGGACAGCGATGGGAGGGAGGGAATGAGAGAGAAAGAGGAAACAACTTACACTAAGCAAAAGGAAAGAAATGTACATAGCACCCTATTTGGAAGAAATAGTTGTATTGTCAAAGTTTGTAGCGTTCACAGGCTTTATAGGCCATGATAATGACAATTTGCCTTGTAAAGGTTAAAATGTGTTTGTGACTTTAGCTAAATATTACTATCCCACAATATTGTGAAGTTTATGCAAACACTTAATATCAATAAAGATATTAAACAAATAAAGTCTTTTACCTGGTTGAGATGCAACAAGCAGGACACCATTCTGACTATAATGTCCAAGAGTAGGGACCAGGGTTCTGAACATATCCACATTGCTCTGCACCACATCAAGGTAGGACTCAGAATTACCCAGAGAATTGACAGTGAAGATTACCACCTTGGAATGAGCAGAGGCAGACAAATCTAATGAATAAAAAGAAATAGTTGGAACTCAAACTGTAAGATTTAATCTAGTTCTAGTTTATAATGACAAGTTTTTTCCCCTTTTTCTAGTTTTTAGACATACTTGCACCTAGATCAATTATACAAAATGCTGAAGGTTAAAAGCAAAAGTGGACTCTACCCAGAGCCAGTTGAACTACACAGCAAAAACAAACTAAAAAACAACCCCCCCCAAAACAACAAAAATTCATCCCAAGGGGAATAAGACAGTAATAAAGTTAAATAAAAATAAATTATAGAATCTAGATTGTACATCCAAGTTCTATTTCTATGTAATACACAATTTTTTTGTCTTTCTTTTTGTCAGACGTGGGAGCTGAACTATGGGCCTGGGTGCTGTCTCTCAGTTCTTTAGCTCAAGGCTAGCACTCTACCACTTGAGCCACAGCACCACTTCCAGCTTTCTTCTGCTTACGTGGTGCTCAGGCATCAATCCAGGGCCTCGTGCATGCGAGGCAAGTACTCTACCACTGAGCCAACTTTTCCCAGCTCCTAATACACATATTTTAAGGAAAAATAATAGGCATGAGCAAAATTAACCTACAATCAATTACATCACCACCGTGATTTTAGTGGTCCTAAAATTCCAAGGAAAGAGAGGAGAGAAGGGAAAAAAAGAGAGGAGAGGAAGGGAAAGAGGAAGGGAGGAAGGCAGTAAGGAAAGAGGGAAAGACAGAGACAGATTTTGAAAATCTCTAAATTAAAATGAAGTTTTGGGGCTGGGAATGTGGCTTTGTGGTACAGAGCTTGCTTAGCATGCACAAAGCCCCAGGTTCAATTCCTCAGTACCACATAAAAAGAAAAAGCCAGAAGTGGTGGCTGTGGTTTAAGTGGCAGAGTGCTAGCCTTGAGCAAAAGAAGCTGAGGGACAGTGCCCAGAGCAAAAGTAGCTCAGGGGGGCTGGGAATGTGGTTTAGCTGTAGAGTGCTTGCCTAGCATGCATGAAACCCTGGGCTCCATTTCTTAGCACCACATAAACAGAAAAAGCCAAAAGTAGTGCTGTGGCTCAAGTGGTAGAGTGCTAGCCTTGAGCGAAAAGAAGCTCAGACAGTGCTCATGCCTTGAGTTCTAGCTCCAGGACTGCGAAAAATAAAATGAAATTACTTGACTAGTGTTTTGGGTTTTTGTTTTTTTTTTTGGCACAGTATCTTGCTATGTAGCCCAGACTGGTCTCAAACTTGTGATCCTTCTGTCTTGACCCTTTTTTTTTGGGGGGGGGGTCCGGTCATGGGGCCCGAACTTTGGGCCTTGGCGCTGTCCCTCAGCTCTTCAGCTCAAGGCTAGCGCTCTACCACTTGAGCCATAGCGACTTCCAGCTTTTTTCTTTTTGCTTATGTGGTGCTGGGGAATCGAACCCAGGGCCTCAGGCATGCAAGGCAAGCGCTCTACCACTGAGCCACCTTCCCAGCTCTGTTTTGACCCATTTTTAACTGACATTTTTTTATACTAGGTATAAGAAACTTGGGCCAGATGTTGCTGGCTCATGCCTGGAATCCTAGCTACTCAGGAGACTGAGATCTGAGGATCATGGTTCAAAGCCAGCCGGAGGAAAGTCCATGAGACTCTTATCTCCAATTAACTACCAGAAAACTGGAAATGGCACTGTGACTCCAATTAGCCACCAGAAAACTGGAAGTGGCACTGTGGTAGAGTGTTTGCCTTGAGCTGAAGAGCTCAGGGACAGTGCCTAGGGCCTAAGTTCAAGCCCCACCACCCATAACAACAACAACAAAAAGAAACATGGGATTTTCATGGGCTGGGAAGGTGGGTTAGTGGTAGAGTGCTTGCCTAGCATGCATGGAGCCTGGGTTCCATTCCTCAGTACCACATAAACAGAATGCCAGAAGTGGCTCTATGGTTCAAGTGGTAGAGTGCTAGCTTTGAGCAAAAGAAGCTGAGGGACAGTGCCCAGGCCTTGAATTCAAGCCCCAGGACTGGCAAAAAACAAAAACAATGGGACTTTCAGGTAAGCAACTATTATGATTTGTCTCTGTCCACAAGAAGTAGTAGACTATTTTTCAACTACATTATTACTACTCTATCATGTATTTTATAGTAATTACATGAAAGTAAATATCAAAACTGTGGCCAGATGTAATGCTATCAAGAGCAGAAACAAATAAAGTAACTAGTATTAGTCTAGCCAATATTTATAAATAATATTAGTTCACCATTGGAACAGTGAGTAGATTCTGAATTTTATGGCTTATATGAGCTGAGTCAAGCCTGGGCATTTGGTTTCAGATGCTATTAAACACTTGGTTATATTTAGAACCTTAATTCTTCTACAGACTCATGAAGATGAGGAAAGCCGGAGAAGTAAGGTGACTTGCCCTATTATTAAAAATCAGGGAACAGCTCAACTTACAACTCTACATTTGACCTCAACCAGTCTTGCCAGATCACTTTTCTTTTCCTCCTTTTTCTTCTACTTTGAATGATAGTTAAGAGTAAGAAGAGTAATGTTTAATGTGATTTCAAAAATACAAAAAAAGCTTCCTACTCCAAACCTTTTTAATCTTTTTAGGCTTAGAAGCCAGCATTGCTTGATACATAAATCCTTGGCTCAAGCTGATTTGCTTTATATTCACTCCCCAAAACATTTCTCAGTTTCCTGATGTTGGCTTTCCTCAAATTCCATCTGCAATGTTTCCCATATACTTGCCACATGTTTGATAAATACCTACATCAAATATACTATGAGCTCTGAGAGAGCAGGAGTTGTCTGACTTACCTTTCTATCTCTAAGAAATAGTTTCTTAGCATTTGGAACACCCTCACCTTTCTGCTAGTACTAACCTCTGCAGTCCTACAAGCCCAGGCACCTATCTTACTCAACTTAAAAGTAATTCTCTTGTTAGAAAGGAGTTAGTCTGGGGGAGGGAAGGGATAGTAGGAAAAAACAAAAAACAAAGGAGGGGGTAACAATGTTTGACAAGAAATGTACTCATTGCCTTACTTATGTAACTGTAACCCCTTTGTACAGCATCTTTACAATAAAAGTTTTAAAAAAGAAAAAAAAAAAAAAAGTAATTCTCTTGGGGCTGGGAAGGTGGCTCAGTGGTAAAGCGCTTGCCTTGCATGCATGAGGCCCTGGGTTCAATTCCTCAGCACCAGATAAGCAAAAAGAAAAAAGCCAGAAGTGGCGCTATGGCTCAAGTGGTACAGTGCTAGCCTTGAGCTAAAGAGCTGAGGGACAGCGCCCAGGCCCAGAGTTCAGGCCCAACGACTGGACCCCCCACCCAAAAAAAAAGTAATTCTCTTTCCATTCAACATAAGGGTCCTCACTGACTGGACAATCCTTTCGGCAATTATTTTACTCTCATTACCAATTACTGTTTATGTTTTGCTTGTGTCTTCACACCAATTTGTATGTGTGTGATCTTGAATTCAGGTGTTCTCTTTGAACTGTTTTCCTCAAGGCTAGCACTCTACCACTTGAACCACAGCATCACTTCTGGTGTTTCTGGCTGGTTGTTAATTGGAGAGAAGTCTTAGGGACTTTCTTGCTTGAGTTGGCTTCAAACTAATCCTCAGATCTCAGCCTCCTAAGTAGTTAGGATTACAGGCATGAGTCACCAGCTCCCCGCTTTCACCTCTGTAGTTTTAGCTACTTCTGACATATAAAGCCAGTCTTTCATTTGAAACAATTTTTACATGCTAGGTTGGGCGTTTATTATAAAGACAGTGCTGCTCTTCCACTTGGACCACAGGCCCAACAGACACCTGTATCACCAGAACTCAAAACTCCCTTCCCTCATTTTCATATGTGCCCAGAAAACGCTACTTCTTTCCTGCTAAGTCTCTGGTTCCCAAGGTCTAGGCCCTGAGCTAGTGAGAATCATAATTATATGAGATTCTCAAAACAGTATCAAGTATGTTAATTTGCTCAATAAAGAATATTTCCTCTCAGATTATGAGGATGATGTGGTGATGAATGAAGCATGCCTTGACTCTAAAAGATTTCCCGTTTATTTTATTCAAAACTATGAAGAAGGGCTGGGAATGTGGCCTAGTGGTGGAATGAGTGCTTACCTAGTATGCATGGAGCCCTTGGTTTGATTCTTCAATACCACATATACAGAAAAAGCCAGAATTGGGCTGAGAAAGTGGCTCAGTGGTAGAGCGCTTGCCTTGAATGCATGAGGCCCTGGGTTCGATTCCTCAGCACCACATAAGCAAAAAGGAAAAAGCCGGAAGTGGCACTGTGGCTCAAGTGGTAGAGCACTAGCCTTGAGCTGAAGAGCTGAGGGACAGCGCCCAGGCCCAGAGTTCAGGCCCCATGACCGGACCCAAAAAAAAAAAAAGAAAGCATTCTTTTCTACTTGTTATGATCTAAAAACTACAAGTCAAAAGTTTAAAAGCTAAATTATACCACCACCTAAGAATTTAGATAATTTTGTTATTACGTGGCAGCGAAACAACAAATTATGTGAAAATATGTGTGTGTAAATCCAACCTGGGAAGCACAGAACCTGGAAAACCTCAGAATATGGAAGACCTCATCATAAAGGCGAACAGCAAGAATCTGTGGATATACACTTGCCCTCTTGAACATATAAAATGACATATTCACATTAGACTGATTTGAAAATATACTTATGCATGATCAATATAATTCCTAAGTGGTTATGGGAAAATTTCCTTCTACACTAAGAAAATTGCCAATATCCTTAGATGACTGAATATAAGATGACTGTCTCAACTAAGGAAGATGTTCTACTTTTTAAATGTCAGCTGGAAGAGTTTACAAAGTAATCTTAGATGTACCTTGAGGTAAGAAATCAAAGACCCTGAATCAAAGACTAGGGCTGGGAAGGTGGCTCAGTGGTAGAGCGCTTGCCTTGCATGCATGAGGTCCTGGGTTCAATTCCTCCGTACCACATAAGCAGAAAAAGCCAGAAGTGGTGCTATGGCTCAAGTGGTAGAGCAATAGCTTTGAGCTGAAGAGCTGAGGGACAGGGCCCAGGCCCAGAGTTCAGGCCCCAAAACTGACCAAAAAAAAAAAAAAAAGAAATCAAAGACTATACTCCCTTATACTTTGGAATTTATCCACATTAGGTAGTTTTTCTTGACAGAAGCCTGATAAGAGCATGCTGTATAAACATTTGTGATTTTTAGTTGGATTTGTGCAAATTTGCACTGTTACCTGTTAGACATCTGTGCTTGAGAGCTATGACTCATTCCTTCCTCTTGGCCACCCCATGTGGGCACTAAAAATTAAATGAAAAATTAATTATCTCTTGTCAATGATTCTCTTAGGATTAAGATGTGATAAATGGTCTTTTGCAGTCAAAGGTACCTAAATTAATCTTTCTAAGTAAGTAAGTCTGACTCCTTCTAGCAAGTTGTTTTCCACTGATGGTACTGTATTTGCTGAGAAAAAAAAGTGAATTATCTCCACCAAACAACATTCCTAGTCTACTTGTAATCTTATCAGTTCTCCCATCTCTACAACAGCCATTTTACTATTCAACCAGGAACAGTTGTTTCCTCAGTGGGATGCATATAACAGGCCACCAAATGCTGCAAGCACTTGTCATTTGTCTGGTTGGGAATTGCACTGAACTAATTTTTTTCCACCAGGGAAAAATAATTTAGCAGCCTTCAGTGTCAGGAAAGAAATTTCGCAACTGTTATGAGTGTATGATGAGCATTTTCTGGGTTACCCATGTCCTCTTATAAAACAAACACTTCACAGCTGTGTACACAAACTGGATATTCAGGGTTTGGAGTGGTGCTGGAACTGAACCTGGGCCTTGTGCATGCCTAGGGCTCATTCTACCGCTGAGCTGCAACCCTGGCTCTCACAAATTGGTTATTTATATGACATGTTAAATATTAAGTGGAAATAGTTATTCACTATATACTTGTTTCTCACCTACATGAAGACATTTAGTACAAGTCTGTATTCAGGTAAGCAAAGCAAATACACACTTGGCTATAAAAATATTGTATGATTAAGGTAGAAATATTCTAAACTGAATAAAAAATTAGGCCATTTAGTGATGTGTCATCAGTAAAGAATATTATATGTATTTACATTCCTCCCTTCCTCAAATTTGACTTTAGGGTTCCATGGTGCAAGGACCATGCATTCTTCTTTTGTGCTATTCTGCACATATCTTTTGCTTGCTTTGTTGTTTTTTTTTCAGTCATAAAATCCTCATGGCCCAGTTTCATAAGTGCTGGAATTACAGACAGATGCCACTATTCTCAGATCAAAAGGAGGTTTCTTTTCTTCGGTGCTATGGATTGAATTTATGCCCTCATCTTTTTGAGCTAGGCACTCGTTATGCTATGCCACTAGTCCAGCTTTGTATATGTGTGTATATTCTGGCATCCACTTCTGGGCTTTCTTTATTTTATTTTGGTAGTTATTTGGAGATAGGAGCCTCATGGACTTTTCCTGCCTGGGCTATGTTAGAATCTTGATCTTTAGATCTCAGCCTCCAGTATAGCTACGATTACAGGTGTGAAGCAACAGCACACAGCCTTTTTAAAGAATCTTTTTCAGTGCTGGGTATCAAACAGACCTGAAAAATGCTAGATATGCATTCTATCATTGGTTACAGCCGCAGTTATTGTGCACATTCTTTACAATGATGGTGAGCACACAGGAGGTAATAAAAATCTAACATCATACAGCACGCACACACACACACACACACACACAACCTCAAGTCTGTTATTAGATATGTGACTTTGAACAAATTACTTATCTTTATTGGGCCTTAAGTTTCTTCATCTATAAATTTAGAAAACCATCTCCTCCTTCAGAACATATTTGTAAAATTTAAATGACACTGAGCACATGTACCTACAGAAATTACTATA